CCAGGGCACTGTCGACACTACAGTAAGTCATCTTAAGGTACATCGATTCCAGCTACATTATTCACAGAGCTGAAGTTGCAGCACTTAGGTCAATTTACTTTAGTAATGTACAGTAGAGATGTAAAGGTTTAACCAGTTAATTGGTTAACAGGTAAGGTTTAACTGGAGGGAGGAGGTGCCACGGACAGGAACGTGCCTCCCCTTCAATCAGTTAACCAGTTAAACAATATGGTTTAACTGGTTAGCTAATTAAACTGGATTTTACATCCTTAGTGTAGAGGCAGCCTTAGGGTACCACTCCCACAGCTGAAGAGGAGCTCTGTGTAGCTTAAAAGCTTGTCTCTCTCTCACCAACAGAAGTTGGTCCAATAAAAGCTGTTACCTCACTCACCTTCTCTCTCTCTAATATTCTGAGTCCAAACATTGCTATACCCAACAATGCATACAAAGGTAAATTTATAATTTTATCATGTCACAACTTACATCAACATCACACGCTTAAAACAAGTACATGGGATAAATTATCAAAATAACCAAGTGTTATGTACTATGGCTCTGCTCATGCAAACATTGATACAAGTGTAGGCCTGACTCAAGCCTTAATGAAGTCAGTGTGGCTTTGGATCAAGCTATATATGCACATACATAGTCCCACTGTGTCATGCGTGTTTAAATGTTTGTAAGACTGAGTCTGATTGTTATATATCATCAGCTTTCTGATTTCAACACACATGTTGAGGAGTTTAATGATTATTCAACTGTGCAAACACCAGAAAATTTTCTACTATGGAACAAAAATAAATTAAAAAAAATAACCAACTAAACAATACCACAGACCCATCCTCTTTCCTGTCAGATCTAAGATGGCCAATATGAGAAACGCTGCCATGAATATCAGAACACTTTTTAGCTACAAGTAAACAATACCAAGCAGTGAAAATTAGCAAAAAACCTAGGACCTGCTGTATTAATTTAGACTGAATAAATGGGCTAGCGGTGTTAACATTCAGTGTTAAATGAGATCTGGGATTTGGTAAGGAGACTGCAGTCTCCTTAATGCAATTACAAACATGGCATTGACATTTTAAAATAATCTATGAATTAAAGATACAGAAGAGAAGAAAAAGAGTTAAAGTATTTGAAGTGTAAAATATTAATTAAGGCTTGTAATAACATTCTTGTTCCCTTTAGCTAGAGAGAGCATTAGAAGGAAAGAATCCTTTGGCAATCTTTTTGATAGTATTAAAGAGTATACCAACTGTCTTTTTGGATAAAAAAAAGAAAGTTAGCTGGTATGACCTGAAGCTGTTACTGCTGCTAAAATCTAATCTTGATTAATTTCAGATGGCATTTGGGATTCCGTTGGAGCTGCTAGGTGTAGCAATATCATCTGGAGCTCTCTCTTTGGCCTGAGCTGGTCAGGACATCTCTCAGGATTAAGATAAAGGTGTAGGGTCCCAGGTGACAGGGAAGCAGGTTGAAGGAAAAGGAGCAACAGACATGATGGGGAAACTTGTTCTAGTAGCCTCCGTTTGTTCCCTGTCCCATTTTATTTAAGGGCTTAAAAAGGGTGTGATGGGTAAAATAGCTTATCTCCTCATTATGTGTCAACCATTTAGGTCTAATATTAATTTCTAAACATATTTTCTTATTTACAAAATCTGACTTGCTTAAAGTCTGACATATTATTAGGCTTTGTTGTTTGTACTAATCTAGCTTTTCCTGTTGGTTTTCTTGCAACTGTTTTTAATTAACATTCTGTATCGAAAATAACTTGACCTACTTTTCATAAACAGGCAAAAGTTAAAGACCAATCGTTACTTCAGACCTATTTCCATTTGTTGAGATGTGTAATAGCAAAGGATGGACAGTTGGGGGCTAGATAATTCTGATTACTTTAAAAGAGGCACATCTGAGAGGAATCAATGATTTCCCCTATAAACAGCAGCAATAAACTACACTTGCACAGGGATGGCAGACTGCTAGTTGTGAGCAGGTGCAAGCAATAAATTGGGACAAAGGCTTCAACTAGGTAGGATTTGCGAGTGGCTAACAGAGACCTGCCCAGCCTGAAGGCTTAGAAGGGGATAATGTATGTCTGGTGGAGTTTGAGTTTTATTTTGAATTACTCTTCTGTGAATGAACCCAGCCCTCTCCTCCCCCTCCCCGCCTCCCCCGAAGGAATATTTTGATCACAGAAAACATATAAAATCCAATAAAGAGTGGATAACAAAGGCAGGGTACTACTGAGTGACCTCTGACCACAGTGAGGTATTCAGAAGGTAGCTGTGTCACAGGGGTATCTATTTATTGTATGTAAACATGAACAACAACAATACTAATTTTTAAGAGCTGGAGAGTAAGGAGCCTCCTCTCATGCTCTCAAACAAACAGTTCCCAGGACACAACTGTAACAGACTTCCATTTCAAGCAGAGTGAAAACATACTGCCATAAATATTTTGCTTGCACATCACCACAGGAAAATTAATTTTGCTAAAACATTTGAACTTTACAGAACTCACAGAAAGCACAACACTCTGTTACCATTTACAGAAATAAAATGCACACACATTACTTTGGCTGAAAAATCCTAAAACTTCCAGTTTCAAGACTTTTTTTAAAAAAGCTACAGAATAAGATTAAGTTTGGTACATCATGTGTCATATAGGCAGCAAGTGTGTAAGTTCACAAGAAACAAGTGAAAAGAAAGAGCAGCAATTGGGAGGGGGAATAAAATGCACCATTCCAGAGGATTCCCTAAGCAGGATAGCCCTTCCCCTTTCTGAAAAGGCTAGAGTCAGTTGTCACCATATACCATACTTCATGTTCCTGAAGCTTGTGGAGGACTCTGGGTATAATGCTAGTGAGGGTGAGCCAGGAAAAGGGGAACCTCTACACTGATGCCCCTGGTTACAGGAGTCCCTCAGATCTAATGGTTTTGAGGGTTACACCAGGTATGTCTTCTACTAAATTCACATTAATGACGTGGCTGGATAGACAGCTATTGCTACAGGAATTAGAACATGAAAATTAAAACAGTTTCAGATGAATTAGAAATCAGAAGATGCACTTGAGTTCTTGTTCATTATTTCTCTTTAAAGATGGTTCTTCATCAAATCCACAGTCAGCATATCCACAGTGTTTTAACAGCATTTCTGCTACTACAGCACTTTTCTACCATTCTTTGTAGGTGTTAAAGAGGCAACTTTAAATGAAGCTTCAATAATGCAGAAGCAAAAATATTATTGTAGATCACAATCCCTACTACATCATCGCAATTAAACTCCTGGTAAGCTGCAAAGCAAGGAGACTCACGGGGACATAAGGCAGAATGCACAAGCTGATCTTTCATACTATACATTATATTAAGGAAAAATAATCTAGTTATCTTCCAATAGAAGAGAGTTTGGCCTTACAGATGTGGAACTAGTAAACTGACCAGAGGCAGATTTTAGTATGGGAATTTTTAGTGACTTATGACTGAAGGGCCACATATAAAGCTATGCTACAAGGGAAAGAAAATAGTATATTTAAATAAATGAAATGGGCTACTATGGAGTGGGATACTATTTTAAAACTGGACAAGTTAGCAGATGTAAAGGGGATGTGTACTTTGACTATATATATTTTTATATATATTTCAGTGTATAATTAAGACCTGAATAGAAAGGCAGAAAAAGGGAAGGTACAACATGCAGCTGTGTAAAGTAGATACCCACAATTTTGCAATTAATTGCTTGGTGAGCTACCAGCAACAATCATAGCTGCAGCCCTTTATGAGGGAATGCCAGTTCACTTATCAGGAAAGGAATTAAGTAAATGTGGGGCCAAATTTTCAATAAGGGCTTAGATTGAAAATAAGAAAAAAAAAAAGCAGCTCAGCTCCCAGTTAGACAAAGTGGCCAAACATTCAAAAGCAATAAACAGATCTCTGTGTTCTTAATAGGAGGTGATAGGTGTTCAGTGCTTTAAGTGACACAATTGTGAGTGTTGAGCCCTTCTGAAAAATCTGGCCATAAAGGCTAAATCCTCAGCTGGTGTTAATTGGCAAGGCTTCATTAACTTCAAAAGAACCACAGTGATTTACACCAGCCATAGAACTTGGTTCAGCATTTTTTAGACAGTTACATTTGGTTCCTATCAGCTTTGAGAGTCACTCAACACTATTTACATACAGTGTTATCCTTATAAATATGCTAACAGGTACAAACACACACATTTATACCAGAGAAAGGAAATATACATTATATAGCATTTATGGTAGATCTCTTATCACATTACATATCACCTATGGTTGTGGTAGCTTCAGCTACCATAAGGTGAATAAGGTCAGTGTAGGCTAGTACTTGCAAAGACTACAGGAAAAACCCAGGTGCTGCAGGAAATGGTGTCAGTGATTCACAAGGTGGCACTACTGCTTCTGAATCAGTAAATGAATCACTCCCTCAGTATTGTAGACAGATTCTACACAATGTTTGCATTGGTGTAATTACTTCATTTAGAGATGTGATCTTTTACTGAACTAGTTCTGAGTGCAACCCCTCATGTGAATGTAGGTATGCAAGTATAAAGATGCCTTAACCTAGTATAGCTTTTTCCCCTTCCCTTATTGGGAATAAAGTACTTGTATGCTGATACAGTTGTATCCAAGGGGTGGGGGGGATAACCAGTATAGTTAAAGCAGTATGTGGGTGTACAGACAAGTCCTCAAACTACTTCAAGGGGTCATCTTTCAGCTGAATTGTAAACCAAAAACCTTAACGGTTGGGTATGTAGTTGTATTAGTTTTAATTTGTTTTATTTGAACTGTTTTCTTAAAATGGAGAGCTCTCCTCTCTTGCAGAATCTGTGTCTACATTGTGATTAAATGCAGCATAGCATAAAGAAGAGAGTTGCTGGGACCTTGCTCTTGTTTTCTAGATATGAAATATAGATGAGTCTGTAAGTGTATGGGAAGAGACAACAGTAACTGTCTGATCTGATCATTAAATCTCAAGTATTTTTCACAAGAATGAAGGATGACAGCACCGTTCCACTTTTCTGTACTGTACATGCAGTTGAATAATGTAACTCTTCACTCACTGTTGTGGAATACTTCTGAGTGCTGCTGAAGTAAATTAAATGCAACCCAAAAGTGCACTTTTGTAACAAGTGAAGGGATTTCTATATATTAGGTTCTGAAGTACTTGTGGATTTTAGGAATAAAACCACCACATGGATGTAAGATTATTAGAATATAAGCAGCCAGGTGAGCTTGTGTCCTATGAAAGGCATCATTTTCCTCCAGCAAGGCATATGGCTTCAAGGCATCTTGTGTAATGAACACTATTTCTTCCCCCACCTCAAGATTAAAAGTCTTCCACTAAATGGTATATTCCTTACTGTAGTCTATGGATTATGTTTTTTAAGAGATGGGCAAGCTAGAGGTTGTCTCTAATAAGTAAAAAAGAAAAAGCATTGTTAAAAATCAGAATGACTGAAAGTGTGCTCTTCTTTTCCTTCAAGTTTGGCACAAGACAATGAAGCTGTTTTTTATACCTTTTTATAACTTCCCTTAAACCACCCCACAGGTTGTTAGGCCAGGACTTCCTGGGGAAGGAACTCCCCAGCTGCACAGCCCCACTTCTCCCCCACCTGCCAGGGATGGGACTTGCTGGTCCTGGCCAGCTGGGGCTCCCCGGGGATAGAGCTCCCCAGCTGCGTGGCCCCCCTTCTCCCCTGCCCAACCCAGGCTCCCCAGGGATGGGTTTTGTACTCCCGCACACTGGGGCTTTCTGATCCAGCAACATCCATCATCCTGCTGGACCACAAATGTTGCCAGACCACAGAATCCCGTATTTCCAAGGTTCAACCTGCACTACTAACAAAAATAATTGTGACTAAAGCGGATAGGAACTGGTTGTAGTGGAGTTTGAAAGATTTCTTAGAATTGTGAACATAAGTACAGGAAGGTACAATTCATAGCTTTAGACACAGAATCATAGACCACTAGAACAGGATGGGACCGAGAGATCATCAAGTCCAGTCCCCTACCCTCATGGCAGAGCCAAGCTGCATTTAGATTATCTCTGATAGATTTCCATCTAACCTGCTCTTAAATATCTCCGGTGATAGATATTCCACAGCCTCCCTAGGCAATTTATTGCAGTGTTTAACCGTTCTGACTGTTAGGAAGGATGACCCATATTCTTTAGAAATATGAAGACCCTTTAGATTGTTTCCAAAATACCTTTAGCCTAGTGTCTTGTACTTGGGCAGTTTAGCTCAAATTCTCTGAGACAGTCATTCAGTGATTAAATGCTAAGTACTGAGGCGTACCACTCAGGGCAGAGTACTGAAGGTACGGGACCAGATCAGCCACTGATGTAAATTAGGGATGTACAAATGCAGTTAAAAATCTAACAGTGTAACCACTAAAATTTATAGTGGTTACATGCACTGTGGGCTCTGCAGTATAAAGCTTAAATAAAGCTTTATTCTTCAGAGCCTACAGCAAAGCCTCCCTAGATGCCAGTGCCACTTCCAGGGAGGAAACTTTGCTGTAGGCTCTGCAATCATCTCCCCAGGAGAGGGGCTGGCAGCCAACGTATAACATGTGCCAGGGGTGCAGCTGGGCCTGCCACCAACGGGCTGTTCCAGCATGCCCCATGGGGCTGGAGCAGGCCCCTGCCTGCCGCAGGCAGGGAGCTGCTCTAGCCCCTACGGATTAAAATTTTACATCCTTAGTGTAAATCAATGTAAAGCCACCAAGGTCAAGAGAGCTATAGTGACTTATACCATCTGAAATATGGCTCCTTCTGTACTGTTTAGTATTTAATCACTCAGGTCAGAGGACTAGACTGCACTTAATAAACTCTAGAAAAAAAATCATTTCAGGAATCCAGGTCTTTTGAGGCATCATATTACCCATACCTGCTGTTGGGAGAGGGCTGAGAAATCTTCCTTGAAGACTCATTCCAGAATCAAAGTAGAGCTAGGCAGGAAACACTTAATGTCCCATCTGTATTTGAGAGATTTCTTATCCTAAATGGATAAAAAGTTAAACGGTTTTGTTTCGGTTTTGACTCCACCTTCCCCCCCCCAAAAAAAAGCCTTTTTCAGTCTAATTGACTTAAAATGCTACATAAAAAGCTGTTTTGAACAGGAAAACTGGAAATTTTCATTCTGAAAAATATCAAAACAAGTCATTTTGATAACCTTGACACTTTAAAAAGCTTGACTCAGGAGACTGGTCAAAACTGCCCTGTTATTGTAACAACGACAGTTTCAACAACAAAAGTTGTCAAAAAATTCCAGACTAACTTTAACACTGTTTGGGGGAAGCATTGATAGTAAACAGAAGGGCTACATCTACTCTGCAGACTTTTTGCGCAAGAAAACTGTTCTTGCACAAAAACTTGCAGAGCGTCTACACTGCACACACGTTCTTGCGCAAGTAAATTTACAGTACAGCATCGGAAAACAGGGCATCTTCCGGAAGAGTTATTCCTCTCCCCACAAGGAATAAGCCCTCTTGTGCAAGAGCTCTTCCACAAGAAGGTAGTTTAGACAGACCACGTGAATTTCTTGTGCAAGAAAGGCCTGTGGCTAAAATGGCCACATTGCCACAGTGCCATGGATGCTCTTGCGCAAAAGCACATGGCAGTGTGGACGCGCTCTTGTGGAAGACCTTTTGCACAAGAACTCTTGCACAAAACAGTTCTTGCGCAAGAAGCCTGCAGTGTAGACATAGCCCTAGTGTCAGAGGAAATGACACAAGGAGGAGAAGTCATTAAAAGACAAGGATCTCAAAGATTTAGAAAAAGCATGCACAGTTCTGGATACTCGTCTGATCCTCCAAAATTAAGTTTGTGCCCCTTTACTAATTACAAAAGAAACATAGCACAGAGGGAGCAATACAAAATGCTATATACATCTACTCTTGTATTTAGGGCCAGATCAAATTCATGACCATGAAAAACATGTCACTGACTGTTAAATCTGGTCTTTTGTGTGCTTTTACCTTATACTAAGTAGATTTCACTGGAGAGACCAGCGTTTCTCAAATTGAGAGTCCTGACCCAAAATGGAGGTATTAAGAGGTCACAAAGTTATTTTAGAGGGATTATGGGTTTTGCCACTCTTACTTCTACACTGCCTTCAGACCTGGGTAGCTAGAGAGCAGTGTCTGTTGGCCAGGTACCCCACCAGCAGCAACACCAAAGTAAGTGTAGCAATACCATACTGTACCACCCTAACTTCTGACAACCAGAGAATGGCAGTTTCTAACCTAGGGCCCCATCTCTGCTGGCAGTGGCGCTGTCTTCAGAGCTTGGCTCCAATTCAGCAGCCGCCGCTCAGCTCTGAAAGTGGTGCCACCACCAGCAGCAGCTCAGACATAAAGGGTACGTCTACTGCGGAGCTCTTTCAGGATACCAGAAGTATCCCGAAATAACGATTCCACATCTACTGAAGTAGCCCATTATTTTGAAATAGATTTAAAAATAATGGATGGCTTATTCCGATGTTCCGGTAGCCCTCGCTTCATAGCGAGTTATTTCATAATGCACTTGAAATAAGCTACGCAATTTGCACATTTTGAGCTAAGGGTGCTGTGTATACACACCCAAAGATAGCAATACTGCACCTCCCTCTACAATTGCTTTGCCAAATCCAGCACAGCTCCTTTTGGGGGTCAGGAGGCCTACCATTACAACACCAAGAGATTTCAGATTTAAGCAGCTGAAATCAGGATTTTTAAAATTGCAACTTTCATGAGACTTGACTGTGAAATTGACTAAAGGGCCCTTCTTGTATTGCATTTGCCAAACAGTATCATGTAACAGTATTGAGAAGCACATTTACACTGTTACATGATACTTCTTACACATTACACTGTTTACACATCATCACATCCCTGTACAAACTCTGTGGTCATGTAATTAAATATTTATTGAAATGCATTTGAAGAAGAGAGAAGAGTCAAAGTCAATGTGACATCCATAAGGCCCAATCCTTGCAGATGAACAGCTGTAATTATATAGAATCCCAGTGGGGTCTCGCTAAGTATTTGCCGTCTAAATACACAACCATATTTATATAGTTTTGATGGCTCATTCTTCTACAAGATGGTACAATAACATGCAAAATATATTACAATAGGAAATGGCTACATGCATCAGGACTAAGACATTCTAGTATTAACATTAGCAAGTGTTCAGATAGGCACAAAATCAGACATTATACATGAAAGAGAGGAAACAAAAAATATTTGAGCCTATGCCTGTTGTAGGCAATCTCCACACAAGATTCCCACTGGTTTGCTGAAAGCAGTGTGTTCCTTAATGCTGTGCTATGCTGCTCCATTAACAGAACTACTGCACAGCCAGTGAGCATACTCTAAGGAAGTAGAAGTAACAACTTAGCTTGTCACTATTTATATATGAACAATTTCATATTTCAGCATACTGACAATGAAGATGAACACCATGAGAGTTCTTGCGAGCAACTTTTCAAAAGCCTAATTAAATGCTTAAAAAATATCAAATTGAGTGTGTACATACATATAATCACACCCCCTTAATGCTAAAAGTTCCCATCAGAATATTGGTGTTCCAGCAGAAAGCACTTCTGTACATTTCTTCCACTTTTCTATGCAGTTTTCCTCCACAGGAATATCTTTTATTATTTTGCCACAGCTAGACCATCACTGGGAATAGTGAAGCAGCTGAAGTAATCATTCATAAAATATTGAGGCACTGTCAGCAGCTGGGCTCTTTTTCCCCCAAATGCACCCAATAATGCCTGCTTTTATACCACCACTAAGCGAAAGTAGAATCATACCCAAAGCCTCTGGTGCTGCGACACCTTTATTCACAATAAAGCATCAGGGACCCCTCTGTTTGTACATCCTATAAGGACAGATTATTATTACTATCGATTCATTTTATGGTAGTTTTTTTTTTAAATAACTGAACAAAGAAATTACAAAAGCTCTCTGTTCAGGTCCAGAAAAAGTGTGGTCAAAGTCCTTCCCACTGTGTTACTTTCAACAGAATTTTCCCCTCCTGATCTGGAAAATCTCCCACCTGTCCCATTGTCCCAGCCACTTGTGCTCAGCCCCTGCAGAATAAAACCTGAGAAGGGTGTGTGGGTGTGTGTCATTTTCTTATATGCCTGACACGCTGGCTCACAGAGGAGCGAAAAAACCCGCCTGCCCTTGGAGCTCTGCAGCTGCTTCTACACACAGCCCCCGCCTGCCAGCAAAGAGAACAACTCCTCACCCCCAGCCCTGCCTGCCCCGTCCCAAACAAGCCCAGCAGCCCGCGCTTGAGTTTGCCAGGGGCAAGGAGAAAACAGGGCCGTGGTGCGGCTCAGTAGCCCCCCACATCCCCCTTCCCCTTGTCCCCGGGCAGGCGCTTCACTTCCGTCTTTGTCAGGCTCTGCACGGCTCACCCCGTGCGGGCTGCGAGCCGCCTGCTCCACTGCGAGATACTGAGCGGCGGGGCGCAGGGGCGCCCCGAACCTGCGGGGCAGAGGGCGGAAGGAGAAGGAAGCTGGCTGTAAACGCAAGCAGGCAGCGAACAGCAGCGACCGCTGAGTGGCATGTGCCAGAACTGGGCTAGTCCTCTTCTCCGAGCAGCGACTCCAGGCCCGCCTGCTCTGCCCAGGGGAAAGACAAAGGCTGAAAAGCGAGTTAAACTTACGAACTCTGCTGGGCTCGCACTGAAGCGCTGCAGCCGGTCCTTCCCCAGCCTCTCTTGTTAACTCAGGAACCCGCATTTACTTCCTGTTGTGTCCCACGCCCGCCCCAGCCCATGTGACAGTGTACGGGAGAGCCTCACAGCCCTGCCCTTTCCCCCAGGTTCAGAGGTTACCAGCTGCTGCAGGGTTAAACCAGACAGAACTTAAAGAGGCAACAATTGTCCCGTAGCACCCACCGGACCATTGTTGTGGGAAGTTTTTCTTAATTACAGACTAACAGGGCTACCCCTCTAAGACATAACTTAGGTGTTAAAGTCTATGGCAGACATACACTTTGTATTGCAACCTGGACATGAAGTGTGTCTACACTGCACCCTTATTTCGAAATGAGCTACACAATTTGCGCTATGCCAATTGTGTACTTTATTTTGAGGTAATCCCTTAACTTTCATGGAATGAGGGATGTCGGAATAGCAAGCCCTTTTTAAATAATGGGCACACTCAAAGGATACTGAATAGCTATTTTGGGATACTTCTGGTAACCTGAAATAGCTTGGCAGTGTAGAGTAGCCAGAAGGAGCCCAGAAACCCATTCTTAAAAACAGGAGAATAATTGTTTCAGTGCCTTTGGCCATCCCTACTCCATTCACTCTTCTGCAGTGTTACCTGCTAATTTTGTGCCTGTGTGTTATCCCTCAGCCTTTCCTGAAGTGGCTGCTCTTTCATGGCTAATGGAATGATTCTTCCTCCTCTGTTCATGCCATTTGTAAAGTTGTAATGTGTGAGAAACATATGAGACAAAAATAATACACTTAAGTCCCAGAGCACCTTTCATCCAGGGATTTGAAAATATCTTTAATCCTGCCCATGGGTTTAAGGTGATACTAAACATTTCCACACAATTGATTTGGGCAAATAATTCTATTTCTCCAAGCTACTCTGCTCTGTCTCTTTTTGAAAATAAGATGAGAAAATAAGTTCATCAGTCATTTCTTATCTATATTGATTATGGATGACAAAATTGTCACTCCAGAGCCAAGGTTGCAACTAAATTCTCATTGTAACTAGGGATGTAAAATCCCAGTTCATCTGTTAATTGGTTAAACAAGGAGTGGTCAAGATCTGGCCTGCCCTGCTGCTACCCTACCCCCAGGCGGGGCATAAAGGGAACTGCCCCTTTTCACCCAAGGCACCACACCTTCTGCCTAAGACCCCACCCCCTGGGTTAAACGTAAGCGGAATCCCTCTCCTGCCCCTCCTCCCCTGCCGCAGCCACATGTGAGTATGGCTTCTGCTCTTGCCCCTCCCCCCATGTGTGGGGCTCCTGGCTGCTACTGCTGGTCCCCCTGCACATGAGGCTTCCAGCTGCTGCTCCCAGCTTCCCTGTGCAGAATGGCAGCAGCAGCAGGAGCTGGCAGCCCAGCACCTGGTGTAAAGGGTCAGTTCCTGCTCCGGATCCCCATGTCCAGTGGGTAGGGTTGCCAGGTGTCCAGTTTTGAACTGGACAGTAGTATTTGAGGTTTCTTTCTGGGAAATAAATTGAGAAAATAGCAGACATATAAATGTCCAGTATTTTCTAATTAAGTACGTTTTATTATTATGAGTATCAGCAGGGCTGGCCAAGCAGCAGCGAGCCCTGCTCGCCAGCTCCACAGAACTGCACTCTGCCCATGCGCAGACTGCACTGCACATGTGCTGACCGTGCTGTGTGGCCGCATGTGGCTAAAATCTACTCACCAAGAGCGAGTAGATTACATTAATTGTCGAGCCCTGAGTATCAGTATGTAGTTGCGTACTGCCTGGCTGGTAGACACGCTCATGCTGCATGAGTGTGTCTACCAGCCAGGCAATACGCAATTATGCAAAGGGGCTGAGGCGGGGGGGGATTCCCAGGGCCGGACTTG